CGAGCCCCCCCCCCCCCCCCCCCCCCCCCGAAGCATCGTTAAGACATTTTATCTGAAGTGCTCAGCTAGTTGTGCAAACACCCACTTAAAGCCAGATCTGGTTCAGACTGTCCTGTTAGCCTCTCACGCTGGCAGCTCTGGTTTTCCCCACCTGAGTTACTGGCTATACAAGTTCCCATCCCAGACCACAGATTGCTCACAAGCTTGTGGTCACCTGTCCACAGTAGGGATTGCATGCAGACATGATGCCACCCTATAATGTCCAGGAAAACCTCCATGTATTCTTCTTTGAGAGTATCTGGACCAGTCAACTGCTTCAGAGTCTGTTGGGCTGTAACCAGTCCATCTGCTCATTTGTTACCAGTTGAGCTCTGGATTAGTAAGCAAATTTATCAGGTTAGTCTGGAGTCTTGCTTTAGGGCAAAGCACTGTCCTACTGAGACAATGCAGTGAAGTAAGACATCAGCAGGGAGAACTCCATAAGCAATCATAGCAACCATTTGTCCAAACAACTCCCAAGGATGAAAATTCCATATCTTCTAATATCCTATGAGTAACCACCCTCACCAGATCTTAATATCCCACCTAAATTTCCCTCACTTGCAATTTTAGACCATCATTTCTTGTCCTTTCCCCTACAGGAACAGAAATACAGTACTATTAAACCCATCTACTATTAATTGCATGCTTTAGAAAGAACAATGTAGTCTAGGGGTTCTCAAAGTGCAGCCTGTCAACCAGAATAACCTACCCTGGGTCAGAGGCAGGCACTTCTCCCTGCAGTGGCACAAGGAGCGCTACTGCAGCTTAAGTCCCATATCTGTGAGCCATATGTTGCCGACTCCTGGTCTGAACTATAAACTGGCAGAGGTTTTGTGTAGAATTTGGTCCTAAATGTAGCAGTATAAATTGTATCACTTTACTTTGTTTCATTTGGTAGTTTGCTGGTATAGCTGTGTGGGCACTGCATAACTTGCAACAAATTTAAGAGGGGATTAATTCTCTTCTTGTAATATAATCCAGAAACATGCACAGAATGATATTTTTAGTTTTTATTATCATATCAAAAGTATAAAACTGTACAAAATACAAAGGCAGATAGCGGCAGTGATTTTTTTAGCTGTCAAAACTGTACATGCTTACTCTTGCAGGGAAAGTATTTTAACGTACTGTTCAATTTTGCCATACTTTCACTTAAAAGCCACCTGCTCGTATCGGGTGTTGGGAAGTTTACATGAAACAGACAGGATCATTATCATTTACTTTCAAAGCGTTCTTCCCTGTTCTTAAAGGTGAGATCCACTGGTGAAAAGTGTCTGCACTTTTGATATGCAATGCATGGAAAGCTTTTGGGTGTTTTGGTGGGGATGGGATGAGTTGGGAGTTTCCTACTCAAGTTTCCTTAAATTCATGCTAGTGTCCTTTTGCTTCCTCATCTTGTATAGAGACAGAAAGGGGTTAAAAGCCTACTGTTCTGCCAGGTCTTTTTGTTTAGAAACATCAAGAATGTCAGGTCTGACCTTTGCTGCTGAACACAGCATCACAACAGCGTGCGTGAGGGGAGAGCCTTTTCACAAATATTAGCATTAGGAATAAAAAGGTTCATTTTTTGCCTTTTCATTGGCTCTCCCCATTCCTAAATTTGCTAGCTGTGACAAAAATTTAATTTTATGTAAAAGAAAAAAAAGGGGGGGAAGATTATTATTATTTTTTTTAATTATTTTCCAGGCCTCCTCTAAGTATCCTAAAAGGGTACAAGGCCCCTGTTTTCCCTTTGGAGAGCATGTTTTAATAGACAGTAAGAGTATTTCAGTGGTCTCAGTCCCTTGTCTCTTTGCTTTTGCAGATGTTCAGATTTTACTTCTAGCTATTTGCTAGTCATGACACCTTAACCTACCCTGAAGTTGCAGTGACCAGATCTGTATTTCTAATACAGGAAACAAGAAAGATTTGAAACACAGTCAGACCTTTATACAAAGGCGTGCTTATATATTCAATTTTTAGTTCACCACAAGCTTCTGTGTATGGTGCCTTCTGCAGCAAGTAGGATAAAGTTCCAGCCAGACAAACCTGCTGCCCAGCCCAGGTTAAGGCGAGTTCCACAAAATTCCAGGTATAAATTAAGTGCTTTTTAAAGTGTTCAAGACGCTCACTGAGGTGCTGTTAACTTTCCAAAAGTGATGTTCCAGCAGAGCCCATTACCATTTCTCTTAATAGGAGACAGCCATTCTCTCTCTTTTTTTCTTGTTTTTGTTTTTTATCAAAAAATCCAAAGCACCATAAAACAATTCTTTCCTGTAAAGCCACAATGTCTAATCATTTTCCAGCATTTTCAAGCTGTGCCTAAAAATGAAATAGCAGAACTGAGAAGACGTTACCTGCGTATTAATTTACATAGTCCTGCCGCCCCAACTGACCAGGCACAGTCCATCTGTACAAGAGATTTCTTTCATCTCAAATCCGGTAGTCATTTTGAGGTCTTTACTACTGACTTGCACAGCCTCTTTCACAGCTTCATGTTTATTGTGGGCTGTACGCTCCGGCAGCCAGCAGCAAGTTTCTCCGTGTAAAATGAAGGTGTATGACTGGGGTTGATTTGCTCATGTAAGTACCCAGTAGCAAGTCCTGTGAGTTTTCAGGCAGATTTATGTGTCCTGTGGCTGTTGTAAAATCATCAGTTTCCAAGTCTTCAAATGCTTTCACAGCGTCCCACAGTTTGACTGTGTTATCCATAGAACCTAAGAACAAAGTGGGGAATTACAATGTAGAGCCTTGGTCCTGCGCAGGGCAGGGTTAAAAAGCAACACACAGAAAAAGGAACATTCAGCAATGTTTTCCTCCATGCCCTTACTGAAGCCATAGCAGCAGCGAATGATAATTGTATTGAAATGATGCTGAGACAAGGCTGCAACCAAGTTGGCAGCAATGAAGGCTGGAAAACACTTTTTCTTCAGTCACTGCAGGACGGGCCAAAGCATTAACGCTTTACACCCAAATGGTGCAAGCAAATGGACTTCAAGTGCATTATTCGTAAGTGCATGTTTGCACGATTAGAGCCTTAACATGGTCCAGGGGTATCCAACTGGTGGCCTCTGGGAGGGGTTAACACGTGACTCGTGGGCTACTTCCAGCCACCACTCTTCCCATTGCTTCTAATGCTGCGGGGGTAGCTGGGGTCTGTGGCAGGGCAGTTCTATAGGACAGGGCCCAGTAAGCTCCCTGCTAGAGCAGTTGAGGGGAAGGGGAGAGGAGGACAGGGGCTTGCACGGCTCCCAGGGCAGCAACAGGAACAGGGTGAGGGGCTGTACACGGCAGGGGTTCTGGGAATCTGTAGGGTATATGGCCCCTGCGGCATACAGCCCCTGGCTGCCAGGAAGTTGAACAGTCCAATGCTACACCTTTCTATAGTTAAACCAGAGGAGCTGCTCTTCAGTCTTGACTGAATTCTGTTAGAGGCTCATTCTAGTCTTACTAGAGTTACATTTAGCAATGAATTTCTAATTAAGCTCTTGGGAATGACAGGAGATAACCTTGTGTCAAGAATGTATCCTATCTTCCTCCCCCACCAAGTTTCAAATCCTTGTGACAACAGAAACCAGTGATTCTCTGGGAAATCTGTAAAAACTGTAACAGGGCCAAAAAGTGTGCTTTATTCCTACTCTTGTTCTAGAAAATGACAACTGTTTAAGTAACCTTCAGTAGCTGAGAGCATCTCACGAGTAAAGCTTTTCAGAAGTCAGGTGCCCCCTACCACTTGAACATCCCTGGTCTTTATACATCCACACATCTACAAAAAACATGGATTTATAAGATTTACCTTGAGACGGTTTTAAAACATTTTTTTCCATAAAGGTCAGATGTCTTTTATGCCAGTCAGCGTCTAGAGGCCCACACACCCACTGACATGGCAAAGGAAGCGTTATCCAAACCCCACTGAAATAACTACTGAATTCTTAGACACTGAAAGAAAATTTAGCTGCAAACTAAGCACACCATGGACGTGCAGTGTGGTACAACCCCCCCAATTACTATCTACTTTCAGCAGAGGCTACTTTCTATCTACTTTCAAAGGTCTGACAGTTAGGGCTGGTTTCAGTTATAAAATACCAGATTATTTCCCATTCTAACGGTTTCTTAAATAAATTGCTTACCATGCCTCAATTCTAGCTGAATTAAGGAATCGTATACCCACTTACATTAAAATTAATCTAAATTTCAAAAATCTGGTAAAGTATTTGCTTTACAACTACAAAGTAT